CTTAGGTCAAAATTTGGGGTATGACAGTAACTGTCAAAAGTTTTTAATAGATAATTAGGGTTTATTGCTTTCCCCCATTCATAAACTTGTACCCCCACTCCCGAAGCGTTGTAATAGCGTAGGACATTTAATTTCCGCAATTTACCACTTTCTTTATTACTGTTAGTAATTAGAGTTTGTATGGCAAGATTAAAAAGAAAACATTAGAAAACCTAACCTCAAAGAGAAAAATACTTGAAATCAGAACACTTCACACACACGCACCTCTAGGGTTACCCTAACTTGTTGCCTCGGATTTAAACAGTCATGTCCCTCGAACGTAGAATGCTTTAGCAAAGACCCTCGGTTAAAAGATCGTAGTCCCTCGATGACCCTTCGATGTTGCCTTCAGTAAACGATCTTAGTCCCTTACGACAATTGCTAAAGCGTCTTACAAGTTGTCTTCTATGACTATACGATGACACACGCATGTCCCTTACATCCAATGATAGGGCTTCCTACTAACCAATGGTAGGATAACACTATCTAAAGGAGGAGTTGCCTTCTATGACTATACGATGACCCACGCATGACCCACGCTTGCTCACAAACTAAAACAATTTTCACACCTCACACTTTCAAAACAACTATTTTCAAAACACTTTATAAACACTCTTGAGGACTGATACAAGGGTCATTATAAAGAAAATTGCCTTATGTTGGCATTTTCAAAACATATTGCCACAAAACAACACGCTCTTTCATAAATATTTTCAAAACAAATATTTTGTATACATTCTCAACGATACGTGAATCATTACAAAATTGTCGCACTTAGGCACTTTCAAAATATTTTCAAACACACAAATACAAAGTATTTTCAAAGTGAGCTAGAAATTAAGAGCCCGTAGATAACTAGGGATGAAAAGGGTGCTAAAATCTTCCATTTTCATAACCTACCCCCCGAACTCAAGAAAATTCTCAAAGGTCTTTCCTGTTCTTTTCACCCTTTCCTTTATTGGATAAAAGAAAAGTCGGTGGCGACTCTTGCTATCCGCAACATTTGCAATAAAGCGCAAACCCTAAAGTCATTTCTTCCACCGTATTACAGGTGACCTAATACATAAGGCATTTTTTAGGTCAAAAGTTGCCATTCTTTTCTGAGGAACAAACAACTTAAAGATATGGTGGATGTAAACAGATTAGTTGCTATCAATAGGCTTTAGAAAACATATATTCCGTCAAAAATGAAGATTTTCGGTTGGAGAGCATTTTTAAACAGACTTTCCTCGAAAGATCAATTGACTAAGAGGAACATCATTCATAATGATCAAGACAAATTGTGTATTTTTTGCCTCGAAGAAATTGAAGATTTAGATCATCTCTACTTCAAATGTTCTTTTTAAAATAAAAAAATTAGTGCAACATTTATTTGTGGCTGAACCTTCAAAACATGGAGGAGGCGATAGGTACAATTCATTTGGATCAATTTACACAAGCTTTTGCAAGAAAGATTAAAAAGAAGAAGACATGTCTAATTTGGATGGCATCGTTATGGACAATATGGAACGCGAGAAACAATTTTATGTTCAATAATGGGGCTTGCGTCTTAGACGACATTATTTCTAGCATAAAAGTGGTGTCGTGGATTTGGCAAACGATCAATTCGAGTGGTGGAAGATGCTCATCTTTTTATAATTCACTACAAGCTCCATTAGATTTTATTAATATGGTGTAAAACTGTAGATTACTCTTGTGGTGTATTGGGTTTTGAGTACCCCCTAGTACTCTTTTCTAATATAATTAGCATTGCTTATAAAAAAAGAATAAGGCTATCTGAAATGTGATGTTTCCAGAATAGACAATCACCCCATCCAGAACCATAACAACCTCCACCCCTATCCATGTACAAAATGAAATTCCTACAGATAATCCAGACATCTACCAGAGTAGCCTAAACTAAGAGCTGAGGTAGTGAACTTGAGGGAAGCCCAATAAGCAAAGAATGGCTGCGAATCTAATCGGGAGATCAAATACATGCTTACTCATACGGTGGTATAGAGGATGTTTTTTGGCATATTCAACATGGCCACTTCTTCTCGCCTAGCGTGCGTGCGTGCGTGCGTGTGTGCGTGCGTGTGTGTGTTGTTTAGTCATGTGTGATTAAAAATCCCAAAATTTGAACATTTTTAAAAAATTTGTAAGAGGCTTGGGATGATATATTTTCTGTGAAAGTATAGCGAATCCAAGGGAGGAGAGCTTGAGATTAAGGACACGGAATTTTTTTTAATATAATTGGTATTGCATGAACACCTAAAGTCTCTCGAATTAGATATCGATTTAAACTTGTTTTGTATCATAGTCTCCAAAACCTTTGAGAATTATTCTCCGAGTAGTTTATCTAAAATACACTGGCATACATTTGATTCGCACACTATGTTTGGTTAACTGAGGAAAAAGCAAAATAGGAAAAAAATTGAGAAAAAAAAGTGAAATGGACAGTAAAAGTCGACTGCACCTACTAAGTTGGGTAACCCTCACCTGATTACTCAATCCAACGGTACTTGATCCCCAATGCCTAAATAAAAAATATGTGTTTGTGAAATATACCAATGTGAATAAAAGCAACTAGTCGGAGTAAGTCGGGTTCACCTTCAAAAAAGTTGTTCTTCCCAAATGTTAGTTTGCTTACATACTATGTATAAGCGAATAACAATAATCATAAATCCTTAGTTACCATCATTTGTATGCGATGAACATCTTTATTCATATTTCCTTAGTTTGACTGTCCTGAATAAATGGAGAAGAAAATTAGATGACGAGACTTAGCTACAAAATCATAGTTGAATTGATATATAAGGATGGAGCCTTTAGTCTGTATTTTACGGCCCTTGGTGTTAACTTTAGTACCAAATAAATTAACCTTTAGTCGATTCAAACATGGATTCACGTGCAAGTATCAGCGATAACATTTTCATGAGTTTCTTATCTGTTGTGTTGTTATGTCTGAGTTTTTCCTAGGCAAGCCAAGTTACTTGAGGACAAGCAATGATTCTAATATGGGGGAGTTTGATTACAAGTGTTTTTACCGTCTTTATTTAGTTCTATTTCCATGTTTTCTAATGTTTTTATTCGCATTTTAGTGCAAACATTTGATACTTTCATTATGTTTCAAATATACACAATTGACATTGATTGTGGAAGGAAAAGAAAGAAAAAGCACAAGAAATCAAGCAATCAAAAAAGATATGACGGGTAACCTGTCATGGGGCATGACGCTCGTCATGACCAACCATGGCACCTGAGAGCAAACCGTCATGGAAGGGGTGAAGAAAACAAAGATTCAGAAAATTAAACCATGACGGGCAGCCCGTCATGGTGCCCAAATCTCCCCACGGTGCAACAGTTTTCAGCAATTTCCTCTTGTATTTCTGCACGACTTTGAGTGCTCTGAACTACCATTTTAGTGTCATTAGACATATAAAAACATCATTGTAACTGATGCAAAGGATCCAAGAATTATTGTAGACAAAATTTATTGTTCCTGTTGCATTTTCTCTATTGTGTTTTACATTTGTTGTTGTGTTGTTTGTTTATATTTTTGTTTTGTAATTTTTATTTTCAAAAGAAACGATGTTTGCTACGAAAGTATGAGCACAAAGATATCGTTTACGCACCAAAAGGGCGGAAATATTATCTGATTTAGAAATTCGAACGATGAGTTGAGATTTTCAAAAGCATATAAGATTTGATCGGGAGAATACGTTTACTTTTTGTAAAATTATTTTTTAACTTAAAATTCATAATGTGAATGTAGATACTTTGTGGGTTTGTGGATGTTACCACTAAACTTAGTATTTGTTACATACAAAAAATAATTCTCATTATAATCGATATAGAAATTCGTATGAGTGGTTAGTTTTAATATTAGGAAATCAAACATGTTATATTCTAGCACAATCGAGCTATTTTCACATAGCCTTGGATACACATAAAAACAATATAAAAGAGCACTTGATCATTGATTGATCATTGATCACTAGAAACAATAACTCTTTTTATTACTTCAATATAGTTTTATATGTGCGGCCTATCATCAAACTTACTCTCTTTTACCAGGTATGTGTTTGGAACATTGTGAGTAAAACACGTTTAGATACTTCGCACTTGATTTTCTTCCACTCCAAACTTCTAGGAAATGATCTTCAATCTTCATGGTTATGTGGTCGCCTTCTCCATAAGACTTTCCTTTTTGAGTTGTTGTAGAGATGATGATTTTGTTGACTTCTGTATTCTTTAAGCCAGAGTTCTTCTTTTATTGTTCACTTTTTCTGTAGAGGGTTGAGTATATGTATGCTTAAGGCACGTCTATGGTACAATTCTTATTATATATTGAATTAAATATTAATTTTCTTATCGAAAATAAACAGTGCAAGCAGTGTGATACTTTTATCAGCAGAAACACAAATAAAAAGTAACCAATTACACGAGTAAATAACTTCAGAGCATAAAATCAATAATATGAACCGTCAATATGTCATGCATTAAATGACTGAAACTACGTTAACTTTTATAGTGAACTGTTTACATTAGTATATCAGCTTATCAAGCTACATTAACTAATTTATTAAAACAAACAAAACGTATTTAAGATCTAAAACTTGATCAACACAGGCTTAAATAACTTATTATCATAAGAAACTTAATTGAAAGCCCCTGACTTTAAAACCAGTAGCTTACTTGAAGGTGACAAACATCTATAACAAGCCCTGGCCATTACTGGTATATTCTCTGTACAAAAATATAAGCTAACTTGCTTGTTCACATATGTCAACAAGCCTCAAACACACAAGTTTGGAAAGTACTGAACTTTCACTGACAACCTTTCGGATAATATAGACCTAAAATTGCTACAAAGGGCAAAAACAGGGATCTAATAACTAGACCAATGTTATCTCTATCCCTAAAATTGATGCAGTGGTAAAGAAATGCAAGGAAATAAACAAGTTGGGAAAAGAGTATTAAGCTCTTGGATAGCGTAAGCGCCCTTTCTTCTTTAAGAATTCTGGGATCTCAACCAAACCACCATCAGTGAAAGTGGAAGCTCGGCGACTGACCATGGTATCTCCCTGTGTGAGTTGACTGGCCTGCATTTTCGACAAAAAACTGAGTTATGGGTATTGGGATCAGAGGGAAGAGGGTTGGGGGTAAGACATACCTGTACAGGTCTCCCTTCACTTTCCTCTTGACGCTTGAATCCCGTGGCAATCAATGTTATGCTCACCTATATAAAACCAAATGACACAGTTCACCATATTAAGCTAATGAAAACGCGTGTCGGTACAACTTTTTCATAGAAGTTGTACATGAGACCCACCATATATGATAGCTTAACAAGTGTGAAGCCCTAGTCCTAGATGTTAGCAACACAAGAAAAGGAACATTGCAATCACCTCTCTGAAGATATACTTTAATAACACATACCTGACATCTAATCTGTATAAAACATTGACTTTTCCTCAATTTCAAACACCTCCCTCAATTTCGTAACAGTAGCGGAGGTGCATCAGTGTGTATCATTTATACAAAACCCAATGAAAGGTGGTGCAATTTTTCAAACAATTGTTTGATTAAAAAATAGGAAGAGTATGAGAGGATTCGGCCAGAAGCTAGATTTCTTTGACAAAAGGAAAACAACAGAATGAGAGGATCCAACAAAAGAACGTCTGTATCCAGAAATATTGCAGTATATCTTTTGTTTCTAGGCACTCTTAACCAGGGTAATGTTGCCAAATGTGTTACTTGAAAAACATTTACATGACATATAGAAGAAGTTCAAACTTCATATAGAAATAACATTTAGGAGTTTTACATAGTTTTACTTACTTGACCACTGAGTGATGGATCTATTACTGCTCCAAATATTAAATTAGCCGTAGGGTCCACAAGATCATATATAACTTCTGCTGCTGCATTTACCTATACATAATAAAGGACCATTTTAAATAGAAGAGTATGATGAATTTAATAGAGAGCAGATCATGAAGTAGCTAGTCAGACAGTTCAGAACAGAATGCTTGTTCAGTATATTTCTTTGGTCAACAGCATATCGATGCAATTGTATGCTTTAAATAACCATTCACTTCAAAATAATGTTTGTAAATAGTTTGCTGGAAAAGTAAGATAATTGAACTAGATTAACTGAACTACATGACATAGGAGTTTGTTTCCAAGTTATAAAAAAAAACATCAAATACTATTTAACTAGATAAAACTGTAAGAGCCAGAGGGGTAGCCAGCTACCTCAAACAATGTCAGATCACTTCCACCAGTTATGTTCCACACAATTCCAGTGGCCCTCTCGATACCAATATCTAGTAAGGGCGATTGGATAGCATTTAATGCAGCATCTCTTGCCCGTGTTTTCCCTTCAATGCAAAAAGAGGGAAGAAGATAAATTACAAAAATTAATAATATATGTAACATTGAACCAAAATGAGCACATTAGTTCTGACCTAAGCAAATGGAAGTATATGCCAATCAAAGGGTAACAAATTCATATATATTTTAGTACAAGTTAACAAAAAGTGATGTAAAGAGATGAAATTTTATTATTGAAGAGCATTAAAGCATATTCACCATCTAAGTTTGTGCTTCTCCAGAATTTTGAAATGTGGCATGACTCGTGAGAGTTAGTTTTACAACCTTTAAATTATTTTGTTTGGATTCTTTATGTTAATGAACAGTATCAAGGCAGTGCCACCTATCCTCTAAAACAACATTGGAGGAGAAGATACAAAAGATATACAATGAAAATGATAACCTTGCACTCAAAGCTACCCCAAAGGAGCACTCTCCTTTCACTAGAGCTTTCTCTAGTCACAACTATTCAAAGCTATCTTTCACCTCTACCAATTGAGGGCCAGTTAAAGACATTCTAAAAATAACCAGCATAACAACTCTGAACAACCACCAAACAAACTAATCACTTACTAACTAACTCTTGACTACTCTAATTAATTAATTACCCAATATTCTATATCGTAACAGCTGTAGACATGTGCAGCATATGGTAAGCTAATATAAAATACAGTAATCCTACATTTATAGTTTGAGAATCACACCACACTCTACATGTATTTCTTAAGCAAAACACAGGATTCAGAGTAATTTAGTTAGGTCAACTAGAAGATCTGGAGTCGGGAGCAGCATTGCAACCCTACTAGCAGTTTACATACATACCAGTTGCAGTTCCTATCCCCATAAGTGAAGATCCTGCATTGGCCATGATAGCTCTAACATCGGCAAAGTCAACATTCACCAATCCAGGTATCTGCGATCAATTAATGAAATTAACAAGCATGTATAACTTTAAAAACTTACACTATGTCAGCTTTGAATCATGGACAAAGTATACTAAGGGCATCTTATTAGTGGGTTGACAGAGGTTGTTTTATCAAAAATCTAAACACATATAAGTTTGATAGCAAAAAATATCTCAATTCTAGTTAACAAATTAATAAACTGGTAACACAATTTTGAAACATTTTAAAGAACTCAGAACCCACATGCGGATCAGGGGACTACCGAATTTATCAAAACAAATAAAGACAATTAAGATTTCCTTTCTTCCATTCTTTTCCAGTTACTACTTTATTACTATCAGAATTAAACTTAAAAAAACCAAAACAAAGCAACAGCAGTAAAGTACTCCCTCCGTTTCAAAATAAGTGTCGTTTAAGGTTTTTACACACAGATTAAGGAATACAATTATATTGTCATGCGGCATTGCACTTTTATTAAATTAGCCTTATTAATTTATTGAAAATAGTGTGCAGAGTAATAATTATAGGACACAATTGGAAAAATAGCTATTATTACTACATTGAAAAGTGAGAATGACATTCATTTTGAAACAAATTTTTTTCTCTAAAACGACACTCATTTTGAAACGGAGGGAGTATATTATTGACAAGAGAAATTTATGATTCCATACCGTAATAATATCAGAAATGCCACGAACACCTTGTCGAAGAATATCATCAGCCAAATTGAATGCTTCAGTTACAGGGGTAGACTGAGAAACTGCAGTCAGCAACTTGTCATTTGGAATAACTATCAGGGTGTCAACATTATCTCTTAAGGCTGCAATTCCTTCTTGTGCTTGAACTGCCCTTCTCCGTCCTTCAAATGAGAAAGGGGTTGTGACAATACCAACAGTTAGTATACCCATTGACTTTGTGATACCAGCGATAACTGGAGCTGCACCAGTGCCAGTTCCTCCACCCATTCCAGCCTACATAAATAAGTTTTGATTTTCAAGTATGCCAAAATATACAAATGACTAACAATTTAGAATTTCAACCAAATCTATTCCCTGTTCTGAAAAATCCACATAAGCCTTGACTAATAATCAAAATTCAAAACTATTAAGACTAAAATTTTAAATTTTAAACAAGTTCTAGTAATGTCTGCTAAAACATATAAGGGATATCACATGATAAAAGTAATTTAAATTTGCATAGGCTTCAAAAATATATATATTAAATTCAGCTTATGAGGTATGGGCACGTAGAGACAAGACCTATAGAGTCTGTAGTAAGGAGAGTAGATCAAATGAAGGTAGTCAAATCACTAAAAATAGAGAAAGAAAAATTATAAGAGAAACTATTTAGAAATATTTAGAGATTAATAAATTGGCTAGAAACATGATAGAAGATAGAACACTACGGTGCTATTTGATCCATGTTGGCTAGAAACATGATAGAAAATAGAACACTATGGTGCTATTTGATCCATGTAGTTGAGCCCACTTAGTGGGATAAGGCTTGGTAGTAGTTGTTGTAATCTAATAAACTATATTTTGAACTTCAACCCATCACAGTATTTGAAATTGCAAATGAAGCGAACCCTAAATAGAGACACAATAAATTAAGAATAACAGATGAACAGTGGCAATTGATGAGTGTATTAATTCTGAAAGTGCAAGATAAATGCAAAAGGATGAATATCTTAATGCCCACAGAGCAAAGCTCCTACAGAGAACAAATCTCTATACAAGCAAATGGTTTTCCAAAAGATACCATATAATTCTATTCTTCACCCTATATAACAAACTCCATTCTCTACCTTTCCCATAACTCTCCTCCCATCTCTAACTATCCTCTTTGGATGACTCTAAGAGGACCTTGGACAATTGGGCCTACAATGACATATAAGATTTATATTGTATAAAAACATACGTAAGTTTTTAATTTCAAGGTGACAGACTTCAAAAAATGATACTTTCATAGTAATTTTTAGATAAGTTGACAATTTAAGTATAGTAATCCGTCATGAAATATATATTTAGATAAGTTCACAAGTAAATGAGTGAATGACGAAGTGCCTTTTAACATAAAATGAGCTTCCAATTGAAATGGAGATGCCAGCAGCCTAGTTGTATGGGGATTGATGTATAAAGTTTATAATTATATGGCAAACAGATATATTACTAATAGAGATGGTGCTGCATATAATAATGTATATAATATGTAATGGAAATTTTGTTAAATTGGGTTAAGGTAGGTTCCTCTAGTTATATTGTTATATATTCTTGTTGTAACCATTATTTTCATAAGTTGCCATTCACATTATTGAAAGCCTAGTCCCTTTCTTCTTCCCTATTTTGGCATCTCTATTGTTAACAATGCTATCAAATATCCGCCATGGCGGTTTTTGGGCTCACCGCAATGGTAAATATTGGCCGATTTAGTAAGTAACCTAAGGACTCCGTAAAGATTTAGTAAAGATGTCAGCAAGTTGATCCTTAGAATTGGCAAAGGAGGTTTTGATGACTCCAGTGATAATCTTCTATCTAAGAAAGTGACAGTCGACTTCTATATGCTTTCTTCTCTCATAAAAAACTAAATCGGAGGAGAGGTGCAAATTGATTAACACACACAAGTCCCATAGAACCGATTTCGCAAAAGCTAAATTCCTGCAGTAAGTGCTTCAACCACAAGAAATAAAATGTCGCATGAGTCATGACATTAGTGTAAGCCCTCAGATATAGTCCCTTGATAACCCCTTTGTGGAATATTGAGACCTATTTCTCCTCACACTACACAATATATTACCAAACCCATTATTTTCCTATCAATCATACATTACCCTATTCTACTCTGAGTTCAAAGTTAACAGCAAGACAAAAGTATTTTGGTTTTATAATAAAGCATATAAATGATGTCTATCTGTGGTAATGTTTAGACGTGAGTAGTGTACCAGAGTTAAAATTCATAATGCAGAGCTGTAATGCAGTTAACAACAGTCAAAATAGAAGGAAAGTGGTTGAACATACAGTAACAAAGACCATGTCAGCTCCATAAACAGCCTCTTGTATTGATTCTTTGCTTTCTTTGGCAGCATTCATACCAATCTCCGGGTTACCACCAGCACCAAGACCCCGTGTAAGCTCTTGACCAATTGGCAATCGGTTCTCAGAATTGACAGGCGACATTCTCATAGCCTGAACATCGGTATTAACAATCCAAAACTCCACACCATTCATGGAACTCTCAATCATACGATTCACCGCATTCGATCCACCACCACCAACACCAATAACTTTAATCTTCGCTTCGTTGTAATTACTCGGAATAGAAATATCTTCCAAGCTTTCATCCACATCTCCACCCGACGTATCCTTTCTCTGTCTAGTAGGGTTGCTTCCTTCACCTCTAAGCATCGAAACTTCAGGATGAAGATCTAAGAAAGGGTCTTTGCTATGATGATAGTGATTGATACTGTGCGAATTCGGTATCGACTTCATTTGAAACCGGTTACCGCTCGAAAATCTACACTTATTTTCTTGAAATTTGAAAAAACAGGGTTTGTTAATGTGAATGTGATGATTCTCTAACAATTTTCTTCCTCCATTAACCGCCAACACTCCTGCTGAATTTCTAGAATTCAAAGGTGCAAAACTCGTTGCCATTCTCACAGTATCCAAACTCATAACTTCTAATAAAATTATTGTACCAAAAAAACAGAAATTAGGTTATGAAAACAATAACAATTAATGAAACTACACTATGGTGTACAATAATTAATTACTGGAGAAAAACGAAAAATTGTACGGTGATAACGATGATAATGATAAAAATGAGTGAAATGCAGAAAAAGCTATTCGAAATTGAAGAAGCGTAATGCGAAAAAGTAGAGAAGAATTGAGAAGAAGAAAAACCTGAGAGTATGGGAAAGTGAGAGTAGCGTTTTGAGTGGTGAAGCAAGAAAAAAGAGGGTTTGTAAGTTGAGAATCACAACAAACAAACACGCCCTTAGCTGTCCGACTTTGTTTGTTGATAATGAAATGAGAAATGGCCTGGGCTAACTCACTCACGTTCTTTTTTTTCATTGTTATAAATATTTAATTGTAAAAAGTATATATTTATAAAATAAATTAATAATAACAAATTATAAATTATAAACTCAATTTTAAACATATTTTCAACTTAACATATCAAACAATCTTATAGGCTATTGAAAAATAGTCTTATTAAACAGTTCTATTTTATTTTGATCATATAATTTTATCTATTTATTCTTTTTGTTTCTTTTTATTTAATTTTATCATATAAATTTATTACTACAATCGCTAAGAAAGACTTAAGCTTAAAAAGAAAAACAACTAAAAAATAATTCTAACAACACAAATGTCATTAATATTTTTAACTAAAGATTTTATGAGAAAAAATGAAATTTCTTTTTGAAATTTCGCCTTATGATGACTATTTTACTAGTTTTTGCTAGAATGTCTACAGAAATATTAACTTTTCGAATCCTCAAATAAATTCAATTATTTTCACAAAATTATTTGTCTTTTTATCACATATCTATTAGTAGTTTATTATCTATTTCTCTCACAATAATAAATAACAAAATTACTACTGACAAAATAATATTAATAGTTTTGTATTAAATCATAAAAATGATAAGTAAATTAGAACAGAAAAATTTGTCATACAAGATTGACGAATCGTCGGTTTATAATTCTAAAAATCTGACTAAATTAACAGATTAACTTTAAACGGTACTAAAAAAAGAATATTGTGTTAGTCTAACACTCTAATTAAATTATTTGGTATACTTTTCTCACAACATTATTGTCCAGGTACAGTTTTGGTAACGAGAACGAAATCCGGGTCCCTCCCTAATACAACCAAAACATGTAGGCAACATAAAAGACAATTTTGGAACATTAGAGGTGGAAAGCGTAATCAATTCAGTAGAGTTTCTTTCTCTATTGTTGGAGTGATATTCTTTCACTTTTGCTTTTATATATATATATATATATATATATATATATATATATATATATATATATATATATATATATATATATATATATATATTCGCGTCAACTTACAAGATGAATGGTGATGCAATGTTTGATGTTTTTAAATAATATCTAAATTATATAATGAATTTTGAAATAATGTTGATAATTTTCAAGTTAGCGAAACGTTAGAGAAGAATCAATGAGATCAACCATTATATAATGAATTTTGAAATAATATTGATAATTATATATATTAAAATTGTTTTACATATTTTTATTAATATTTTTATGACTAAATTATTGTTTTGGTCCCCCTATTTTATCTAATTCACAAAATCAATCTCCCTATTTTAAATTCAAACAGTTTTGATCTCCTTGTTTTAAATTCAAACAGCCTTAGCCCCCTCTCATATTTTTTCATAGAAAATCGATAAGATTTTTTGTTTTTAAACATATATTTTTATCTACAAAGTTCAATAATAGATTTATATGTGATAGTTTATCATATTTTACAAGTAATTTATCGTTTTAAAAGTGAAAACATCATTATTTTTAAGTGCAAAAGTATGAGAAGAAGAACAAAAATGTTTAAATCTAATATAGGGGAACCAAAGCTGTAAATTTAAAATATGAGGACCAATTTCGTGAACTAGAGAAAATAGGGGGACTAAAACTGTAATTAAGCCTATATTTATTTTTATTGAATAAAAATTAATTTAATAAGATAATGAACCATCCATTGACATTTTTAATTAAAATGTCCTTTTATGTTATTTTGTATCTATCAACTACTGAAACAGCTAATTTATCAAACACTCAGGTTAACTTATCAGCTATCAGTCATCAGCTATAAATTATAAGATATCAGCTATAAGCTATCGGCTACCGGCTAGTTTTACTAAACATAGTCTAACACAAACAACGAAACCATTATATCTTCTAATAACACAACTTTATTCAACTTATAATTCTGAATCAGAATATTCTAGAGATTTAAACTTTTCAACACATTTTATGTTCAGCTCCTACTAAATCAGAGTTCTTCAAACACATTTCAAGCATACAAGATTTTTAAATATTGCCTTAAACAACATATATGATCAACTCTTAGACAAATGAAAACTATAAAACTATTAGTTTTATAATTCAAACATTAAAATTCATATAAAGGTAAATCGTAAAAGCCACAAACATTTTTGAAGAAGATATACCATATTGTTGTTAGTATATAATGTTAGAATTGTCAAACTATTTCTACAAAACAAACCATTTCAAAGGAGTGGTTCAAAACTATGATGTAAAAAATTATAAGAAAATGAATAAAAATGTAAGACATAAAGAAAACAAACTTTTTTACCACATAAGAATCCATATTTCAATAAAATCCTCAAATATATCTTCAATACCTACACATAATATTTTAGAAAATGAAAAATTATATGATTGATCTTTCAATAAAATTATCGAATATATCTTCAAAATATGCATATACACTACTACAAATAACACTTTTATGATGAAACTTTCACATTGAAGATGCTAAAAGTCGAGATTATAGATCCTCGGAGCGTCGTGTTTGATTTTTTAAGAAAATAAACAATATTTTCTCTTGATTATATAAAAAAAATCGAGGTAACATAGCTATAAGTGAGCGTCATTTTTATCCATAAAAAATGGATAATCTATTCTCTCATTTTTTTTGAAAAGTTGATGGAATATAGCTATAAGGGATATCGCTTCTAATATTTGTTACTACATTTAAAGTTTTTTTCAACGATTTCTAACTTGACATCTTTCCAGATTCCATGTTTTTCTTTGTTAATTAGTAATTCTCAAAATCTTTGTTATCAATAAACAAGAATAGGAAATAATAGAAAAAGATATATTTCATTAATAATTAAAAAAAAAATATGACAACAGCGATAACTATTCCACATGTTCAAACTTCTCACTCCACTCAACTTCAACACTATCCCTAACTATATCTAGCTTAGAGAAAATTTCAGAAATAACTCTTCAATATGGTATGAGGAAAGTCATTTCCTCCCTAGAGATGCTTATCATTTTCGTTAAGAAGTTAAAAATGGTAAGAGGAATATTGACTTTAACGTTGTAGGCAAGGAAGTACAAGAGATGATTGTCATCCCAAGTAAGTGTTTTCATTTGTTTCTCTCTTGGACGGAGATTTGACACTAGAAGTTGATACCAAACTTTTTCAATTTAGAGTAGAAAAATATGATTGGTGGGCTTATCTTGGTTACCATGAATTCGGTGAAGACGGGTTGAGTAGACATTGTTGAATTTATAATGTTCAACACAATTACTTGTCTCTTTACAATTTAATGTCTTATTAATAAGTGATTAAGTAATAAAGAAATGAAAGTCATTGACTTAGGACTGAAATGCTCCATCATGACCAGTTGGCACAACAAAAGCATTTAACCAGAACTCTTTAACGAGATTAGTGTAGATGAGACCATGAATAATGTGAAAGTAACCATTTAATTTTTGTTTAGAAATATCTTTCTTTAGATCAAAATCTTTGTCTTTCAAATCATAGAAATCAATAAACTTTTCATTGATAATGAATAAAAGATAAGACTTTGAAATAAGGATTGAAGACACAAAGAGTTGGAAATGAGACATTGAAAATAGGAAAAGATTTTGAAACAAGGTTTGAGGATACAAAGAGTTGGAAATGAGACGTTACATAGCTCAATAGCCTGGATTCCAAAAGATACATTATGTTTTGAATATAGACGATCGTTTTTATTCTAGTGATATGATTCTAAAGCGCGTGCACCACATTTTAGAAGTAAAATCGCATCTTACCTCAGATTTTATTATAACCGAGGGGAAAAATAATTCAGGAAGCTTTCTTTTTTTATATTTTTTATTTGCAAACTAAATGTTCTATCTCGTCGATTTTCCTAATAATTGAGGGATAAAATATTTTATTATAAAAACACTCCTTAAACAAATTTTATCATAATCATAACTCATACACATCATTCTTTGAGATAAATGCTTATCATTTCCTTTAAGAAGTTAAAAATGGTAAGATGTAACTCAAAAAGCTTGAAAAGGTTCTCTATAATTTATTACAAGTGCATAAAAACATTTTCAAATGGTTGGAACAGATAACTTCTTTAAAAGTTGGATGCATATAATCCATATAATATTTTCTAATGTTTGGAATCGAGAAATCCTTACAGCAAAGATTTTTTATTCTCCAAGAATATGGATTTGTCGTAATATTTTGTTTTAATATTATGTGTAAACAATGTAATGTAAAAAAAAATTAGCGTTAAAATTGAGGATACTGATCATTGTTCTTAAATAAATCTTTATCGTCAATTTCATGACTATCAATGCTCAAGATACTATCATTATTGATCCACGTGAAACCTAAAAAACCTCCATTGTAAAAGCCTTATGATATCTAAAATTGATAATGAAACATCATGAAGCGCTTGAAACTATATACTCTAAGGTTTGCATGAAGGTTTGCCTTGAAGAGTTCTCTATGCTGGATTGCAAGAGGAGAAAATTATTTGAGTTTAAGGTTTGTGTTCTTAAATATTTATTTGAGCAGAAAATCATTTATTTATCTGCCATTTTTTTTGTTTATATCAAAAATAAATACAAGCAAAAGC